AGTGTGGTGTGCACACATCTGCTGGGCCTGTATGTGCTCTGTGGAGAAGGGAACAAAAGGCAGGGTGCCATCAACAGTGATAGCCTCACTGGGTTGTGGGAAAATATAGTCCACATACTTCGGCTTTTCCAAGCAATCATCTTAGCTTGACTCAAAGAAATAAAAATCTTTATGACTTCAGAACAAAGGGAATGATATTAATGAATAAATATGGATGATGAAATACTATTTTGGTTATGCAGATAAGGTAGGAGCCACATTAGCACAGGTGCAAAAATCTTTCATCCTGGAAGGAAGTGTCATTTGATTTTATTATTTCTTGTAGGTTTTACAGGGTACATTTAGAGAACAAGAGACTCTGATGTAAGAGAATAAATAAAAATTGGAAATTATTCCTAGGGCATTACCTTTTAAATTACTTCTCAAAGACATTTTTAAGGGTTCCAGATTCCAGGCACAATGGTAAAATGACAGCACTAGAATTTAGCAGGTGGACCTTAAAATGTACTTTTTTGTGATTTATACCATCTACAAAATTAGATCTCAAAAAGCATTTTTTTTCCATTGAGACACAGGGCCTGGCACATGACAGGGAAGTGCCCTACAACTGAGGTACACCCTGAACCCAAGCTTTGTTTTTTGATTTGATTTTTTTATTTTTAGTATTTTCAATAAATTTTAAATGAAATTTTGGCATATTAAGTTTGCTAATTATATTTTTTGAAAATCTTTAGTGAGTCTAAGCTTTTCCTATCAGCTTTTATTTGCAAATGTTTTATCATACAAAGAACATCACGAGTTACAGGTCAATGCCCTTTATATTTGGTCCCATGTTAACAGATTTCTTTCAGAATTGAGAGCTAAGAAAAAAATTATGATTTCTTTCATTGGGTTAGTACCACACAGTTCATCATATTTCCTGCTTTGCTGTGGTTTATAGGCAAGCTGAGAGTAAAATTTGCCCCTAACTATAGCAAGTACCCATTTTCTGATGTGGCTAATATCTATTGCTTAGTTACTACTTTCAGGTTTATTTAAGTATATGTTCATTTTAAAATGCTGCCTTGAATCCCTTCTGAAAATAGTAGGTACACAATGAAATTAAAATCAAATGTTTTCAATAGAAATATGCTGCCAAAGACCATGTACATGGGTAGGTATGTTCAGACTATATAAATCTGCCCTTTGAGTTATCAGTCTTTGAAGAATAACAGTAATGTTTAATCTATGTAATGTACACATGTACCCAGTTTATAAATTAAGATTTATATCCTGTGTTCATATTTGAAAATTCATGGAAATAAAGTATTTCATCGAAATCTAATTATTAAATTATAACTTTTGGGGGGAATCTTTTAAATAGAGGACACTACAAATTTAGAATGAGCTGTATGTTCAACCTCTTAATGCAGATCACCATAGCAAAATAAAGACCTGTCCACTTACTATGCAAAAACTGTTTAATCATGATTAGAATCAGGATTCCCATCTTAAGGGATCAAATACATTTAGATGCCAATGTTATGGAAAATTTTAACATATCTTTAGACATCACTGATAACCTTCAAGGATGTTATATATGATTTACATGATACCGAGGGTGGTTCACAGGGGCTGCTGGCTCCTCTGCCTCCGTGATCTGTATGTATTGCAACAGGTCACAAAGCTATGCTAAGATGGTGTATCGCCTCTAGGGGGAACACAAAGGTTCTACATGGAAGCCTAAAAGCATTCGTGTACACCACTGACTTAGGCAGCAAACGTAAAGATTAAGCAATCTCTAAATGGGGCCTGAAAGGAAAACTGAGTCATCAAGGAATCTATGCTCTTTTTAAATTCTAATTCAAAATGATAATGTACAGACATTCTTTCGTTATATTACAGTACAGAAGTAAAACAGGAATGATGTACAGTTCTTTCACGTTAAAAGAAACTGAGATGACTTTCATAAATTTTCTCCATATTAAAAACATGATTGAATCAGTCAAATCATTTTCCAAAATAATTTCATCAAGAGGATCCTGATAAGTGAGCAATATTTGACAAGGAGATTATAAATTTCTGCATGTCTTGGTTTCTGCTGACCTGGATGCCTTTTCTTAAACATTATGACATCAGTAGATGCCATGCTGAACATTTTAATGTGGATAATAAAAATCTAATTTGTATTTTTACCAAGTGGAATTATCAAAACATAATATATCCTGCTATTGAAAACCAAAGTATACAACAAAAATATACACATATTGAGCAAATTAGCTAAGTGCACCAAATAAAGTGAGGAAAATGGTTAACTGTCCTTAGATGCTTTATGATAGCTTATAACTGTTCTATAGAAGAGAATTATTACAAGAAAAACTAACCTGTAATAACTATTAGGCGTAATCATCAAAGGAAGCTCCTAATTGATAGGATTCACCTTAAGGCAGGCAACTGCTGTATCTAATAATTATTTATCAGAATACAATACACTACATATTTAGAAGAGTCCAAAAATAGTTACTTAAAAAATTATATTCATTCAAGACCCTGATTAAAGACAAGCAACAAACAAAGCCATGGAATCCAAAACAGATACTGCACTGGTCCTCTTTTGGTTAAGTATTTCAAATAGTCCTTTTTACAAAATGGCCTCCACTGCTAAACTGGAACAGGCAAACATGAATTGCAAGATCTCTGGAACTAAAATAAAAAAATTACACAATCTAACATTTAAGACTGATATGTTTGTTCTGCATCAAACACCACACTAATTTTTTTTTTTAAATGTTGTATTTTGAAAAACATCTCCAGTTTGCTCTTTGGAAATTTGTGAATGAAATTCAGTACATAGAAGCTAATATAAATTAGATTCTATAGATCCCAAGCACGAAAAGATATAGTTTGAAAATTCAGGACTTACCTAAAGGAAACTTGGAATTAATATCCTCAGTGAACAACCAAAGATAAATACAAATTATTAGCATTTGGCATGCATGATAAAATTTTTTAAAAAAATATAACATAGATAAAGTTTTAAAAAAATGTGTTCTTTAAAAACAAGATAGGTACAAGATACACAAAATTATTTTCCTTTTGGCCAAGAATGCATTTAGGCTAAGCCTGAATTGCTTACTGGCATTCCCAAGACAGAAATTTCAATTAGCAAAACGTTCCAAGAAAGACAGAAAATACAAGAAATATACTACAATACAATATTTGAAGACGTCATATAGTCTCATACTGAATATTTCAATGAGGAGAAATTCAATTACTTACTTTATTATACCATCCCTGTGGCTTAATTATATGTAATAATTCTAAAATTTCCTTTTGTTATGATTGGATGAACCGCACCCTATACGGCAGATACGGCATAGGCAAAATCACAAAGATTTCCCCCAAATTTGGTCTCTGTTTGTGGCAGTTTTCCACCCACAACACCAAAATAGTAGAAAGATATGTAAATTAATGTATTTTATTGTATCCCTTATTCGATTTTACTATGCAAACAGATTCTATACTGACTCAGACCCAATATCATCCTTATCATGGAAAGACAATGGTAGGGTTTAGCATCATGTCGGAAGGAGAATGTTAAGTTTGGAAATATTCTTAATAAATTGTATGGCTGAAAATCAAAAGACCAGCTTTTATTATCTAAAGTCTATACTGAGGTTGATGGCAAAAGTACAATACACAATGACTTAACTGGAACCACCTGACTATTCTGGTACCATGGCTACTACAATGACTACCTTTTTAGTTAGCAGACCACCACAAAGCAAACTGAAAATATTTTTCCCGTACATGCATATGATGGACAAAAAACCTGTGCTGGACATATTCATATTGTACCAGTTATTCTCTGAAAGTAAAAGACAACCCAAGGTCAGATGAAAAATAACCAAGAACTGCTATTCTTTGCCTTATGGCCTCCCGCTCTCCGCTCAAAAAATTAACATCTTATTTAATTAGCAGTATTTTTTATGTTTAGGTAACCATACGATGGTTTAAAGACATATCAGAAGATTTACCTGCTGTTTGAAAATTTTATTATTTTAGGAGGAAGACTAGCTAGGGGGAGAAGCATATTTGCGGTGTGGTTGGTGTGGTTAGATTTCAATGGGAAAACAGGTATGAGAGGTATGTAGACCTAGCACATGATATGATTTTATTAGAAAAGAAAATTATCTTTTTGTTATTATCAATTCCTCCAAATTTTTCCCTAATAAAATTTCACAGCAATCTCAAGAGGATATATACTAAAGGCCCTGGATTATATACACCCTAAACAACGTATTGTACAACAAAGATACATACCCAATAAGATTTTTTTTCATCTGAAATTTATAAAGATAATTTTCCATGCTGACAGTGCACATTTCATCCATAAGTTTGAAGAGTCAAATGCTCCCACAGCTGGGGGTTATTCTGCCAAATGGCTTCCAACAGGGAGTACAGAGATGGAGGCGAGGAGGCATGTGTACGTGCATGCAGGAAAAAGCGACAGACCTGATGGGAAATAGCCCTTCTCTGGAGGCATTTTTATCAATTACCATCCGAGTGATCTAATCAAATATAGAGTCTCAAGGAAAAAAGCAACACTAGGGAGGAAAAGCAAATATTAAAACAGCTGCCTGATTACCTACAGAGATTAAAACAAAAAGCAAGGAGTGAGACTGGGATATTTCTTAGGGATTTTCTAAGGCTGAGGGGAGGGGTAAGGGGCAGATACCTTAAAAAAACATCATGAAAGGAACTGAGACAAGATTATAAAAAAGGGGCCAAGTTATAGCGCGCCATGGGATTTTTAATCTGGCTACCTGTGGTTTCTGTAGTTAAAGCCTTATTCATCCCCCAAACGGGGGGTGGGGGTGGAGAAAACAAAAAAAATCACATTTTTATGTCAGTTTTGCAAATGATCAAACAGCGTGCCCCAGTAAGAATAATAAGAAAACATTTAGCGCTGATGACTTTTAAAATTAGATACCCGTTTATCAAATATTATTGATAATTACCTGTGCATCTCGTTTCTTGAACTCTTGAATTTGATTTTCGTGCTCCATATTGGCAGCGCGAAGCTGTTTCCCCAGGTTTTCAATTTCCCGTTCATGGTCTCGGACTAGGCTATCCTTCTCTGCGTTATGCTGCTGTAATAGGTGCGTCTTCTCCTGTTCATGCTCCAGCTTCAGCTCTACTATCTGATTGGACAATGAGGAGGACAGTTCATCAACAGAACATCCTTGTCGTCATGACAACTCATGTACAGCTTAATTTTACCCTAATTTGTCCAAGTTGAAATTTTTATTTTTGCGTCATTATTGCCTCACCCTGGAAATACCTTCATTTGGTGGGGGGATTTTATTCACACCTCTTCATATTCAAAACACTTGGCCATATTCAGAAAATCCTTTTACAAACTGTTGACACAAATGTCTGAACATTGAAAAAAATTATGTCGAATGCCAGGTATTTGCTCGCCAAGAATTCGGGTACTACTGATCAGCAATGGTTGTAAATGGTTAATAGTCAGTACGCTGTGCTTTTTGCTTAAATATACACATGTAAAAAGCAGCAATCAGATCGGTCAGTTTTCTTCATGATTTTCAAATAAAAGATCTGAGCTAAATACGCATCTGGATTATTGTATATACAGTTGTCTTTTAAAAAATAAAACGATAAATTTCAAAGCTCTATTATCTCGTTGTCAGCTACGGTATACCAACATAAACAGATGTTATGTCTTCCAGAAGAGCACCTGCTGTGCTGCAAGCTTGCATCATGATTTCATAAAAAGCATTCTATTCTCAGGATCCGTTCCCAGTCCACTCCACACTGGAGACTGTGACCTTGGCCAGTCTTAGCCTCTCCCTGCTAGACTGAATGGCAGCCTGAGACCAAGGGCCTGGTTGCCGCAGCTTTGATACTAATCCTCCCAGACTGTGCACAATGGCACCCTACCTGGCCTGCAAACTATAGCCAGCCAGGCTGTCTTTGAAGCAGGTGATGAATAGGGGACTGCAGGAAGCCAGCTTCCCCAGTGAACTCCAGGCCACACAGCTGTTAGAACAGTCACTTGGATTTTTCTTCAGTTTTGGTGGATTTCAGGGGGAAAACTGCTGTTATCTAGAATAGGTTGTGTTATTTTCGGCGTGAGAATCCATCTTCAAAAAAGCTAACAGTAGGAGCCAGCTCCAAATCGATCTTGTTGCGTGCACTGAATCACCAGACTACCTTATCTTAAAGCTATAGCATTCATTTATCCACGCATGCACACTGCACTAGACTTCACAAGTTATTTTTCTTTGAAATTTGAAATTCTCAACCCTACGTGCAAACTAAGACTGAAAACATAAATTAAAACTGCTTTAGAAGAGTTTGCGAAATATTTTCTTCTTGTGACATTTCTTGGAGAGTTAAAAAATCAACAAATTTCTAAGCATTCATAAACTTACCATGCTATTTAGAAGAAAGAAAAGTAAACTAACTCCTGAACTTACATACCTAATGAACAACATAACGTATAATATGGAAAAATTATAAATTTTCATTTAAGACCAAAAATGTATTTTAATGAATCTATTTAAAATTTAGGGGGTTTCCCCATATTTTTCTGTTGTTGGCAAAACGTGAAAAAAAATGAGCACAGAATGTTTTTCTTAATATATACTAAAAATTTCTTTGATTATTTAAAATAAATGTGCATGTTTTATTCTGTGATTCACATAAGTACTATGTTTAATCCCAACAGAAGAGAGAAATTAAAATGTTATTGTTATTACAGCTTTTTTTCAGGCAGCCAAGTATATGAATTAGTGAGTTGGAATATATTTTGGCTCTCAGACACATTATTATTTCTGTTCATTGTTATACTATCATGCATCATTATAATAAAATGATAAACTTTAGTCAAAAAGTATGTAACACACTGAAAAAAAGGAGGAGGTAGAAAGTTCCAGTAGGATAATGAGGATAACTTAAAATTGATAGCAAAACATTTCACAAGTAACCAAATGACCTTTACCTAGAAGAGAAGAATTACAGAATCAGCCCCGCTCCCGAAAAAGGCACATGACTGTAAGTAGATGTGATATCATTAGTTACGGTGCTTAGTTTTAGGATGTAGTAATAACACACTTCTGTAGTACCTTTCTAATCTGAGTAATTTCAAGTGTTCTTAGAAACTAATCACTATCCCCTTGCCCTGGATCACATTTATTTACTCATTTTAAAAAGCTAGGAAAAAATGAAATAGTGGTTATAGAATTTGAGCAGTACAGGTAGATATTTGTAAGTTATTGTTGGTTGTTATTTTTCCAGGGCCCGTTACTCAGTAATCCTACTTAATGAATAAATCTCATAATAAATCTCTGAAGCCTTTTTAAATCAAATAGCTGAGAGTCATCTGCTTAGTCCGGCAATGCTAACTTCTAGATGTTATGGACCCTTTATGGTCTTAACCTAGATTTCCTTGCTGTCAGTATCTTTTGGAAGGGTGTCATCTCTAGATAAATAGCAGAGTCCAGAGGAAAAATCTGAATGTTTTTCAGATGGTAGATGGTATCCATAGGCTATTCCTGGCTTGTGTTAAAAATCAATGTTTTACTGGTCCCTGGGTGCTTCTACACAAGCAAATGTTGCAAGAGTCCTTCAAACTTTCCAGTTTGATTCTTTATAGGAACACCTCAAGAGTGAATGTGAAGAAACAGCATCTCTTCTTTATTTTGGACTTCCTTACCCTGGATACTTTGGGTTGATCAACAAGAATGTCTAATAGAATTAATGATGATTGAGATAGTACACTGTGGGAAATGTGAAGATATAAAAACATACAGCACCCACAAGAATGAATATTGAATAGGTCCATCAACTTCTGAGTCCAGTGGAGTCTACATCATATACAAAGAGGAACAGGATGTACCACCACAAAGAGTAGTTAGCGGCATACTTGTAATACAGAAGGACCACAATCCCCTAATCCAAAAGCACTGGGCCACGAGCCAGGCAGTAATGCTGGGTATGTGCCCACTCTCCACAAACTAAATGTGTTCCAGAGACAATGGAAGCAACTAGCATTCATGTGCAAGCACCTGATAATCACTTGAGAGACTGGACTTCATGGCTTGGTGGGCCAGGCGTGATGGCACAGGCCTGTAATCCCAGCACTCTGGAGGCTGAGGCAGGAGGATCATTGTGAGTTTGAGGCCAGCCTGAGCTATATAGCAAGTTCAAGGCCAGCCTGAACTACATAGTGAGACCCTGTCTCAAAAAAAAAAAAAAAAAAAAAAAAAATTCATGGCTTGGTGTTTGAGGTTAGAAGACACAATAGCTTTATTGCCCAGAAACCTCTAGGGTGATCCACATGAAACTGCTTTTTTACCCCCATAAGTCAAAATAGGAGATAATAAAAGTCTACTCTACCTACTGTGCTACTCCCTAACACATTCTGAAACTGAAATTCAAGAGTGAAGTTTTGACGTTCTGAAGTCCCTGAAAACATAGCCCTCTGCCACAAACTGACTCACTTTACAGTCTGATGATGATGTCCTCATTCCAACAAAGGTTTCATAGAAGTGCCCCATGGCCAAAGAAGGACCTTTGAAGCCCTAAGAAGGACCAAGACAGAGCTGAGAGATTTCTAAGTCTCTGGGTGTCCTGGAATCTATATTTTATTTATTTATTTGAATCTATTTTAAATCCCAGTAACTTTTTCAATAGTGCTAGCAAATATGGCCTGAGTAGTAGTGATTCTCAGTACACAACAATGCAAAACTAACACAACCTTTTAATCCACTTCAATGCCAGGAACTCCAACGTGAGAAACATAAATTATACATGCAATAGAATGCATCACGAGACACTGAAAAGAAAGAATTTTGGTGCAAAATATAATTGAACCTTGGGCTGCAAATACCTTGTTCTGTGAGTGTTCAGCACCACGTGCAAACATTTCTAGAAAATTTTAACATGATCAACGAGCAATGTCTTCTAATACAAGTCATCTGTGATGCCAAATGTCATATGATCACAACTGAGCCAATGGTTCTTCTCCCTCTCTCTCACTGCAGAATTGTGGGTGATCATCTCCCACCAGCAAGAGGGTATAGGGAAGATCTTGTCTACAGAAGAGAAGGAGAAAAAGGTGGAGGAATCCTTTACTTCCCAGGAGATTAAGGAGATACGCAAAACGTGCAAATTTTGTAGAAAGGCACCATCCCAAGAAGGCTGTAAATATGTGACAATGCAATGTCACATTTCCACAAACTTCTCAAATGAAGGCAAAACCAAGTGTTACTGGATGGCTTCCTTGTTAAAGTTGCACAAAAAAGAAAAAGATTCCAATGAACTAAAAGCAGTGATTTTATGAGTGATAGTGAAAGTCAACCTACACAATAACCCTCCTCTCTCTCGTCTCTCTCACACCAGCCACAAAGGCTTTCAAACACAACTGGTAGTTAATTTGTTTATTTTTCTTTATAGTTTGTGTTGTCTTTATTATTTTGTATTATATTACATTATTATAGTAATTTTTATAGGAATATTTTGGGGCTGTGAAACAAATCGTGAGTTTCCATTATTTCTTATGGGGAAATTCACTTTGATATACAAGTGCTTCAGATTACAGGCATGTTTCTGGGACAAATTACAGCCACAAACCAAGGTTTTACTGAATTAGATAAAATAACCTCAAAGTTAACCAAATTACAGAATCTATGTTCTATATACCTTGGTGAAAAAAAGTTAAAGCACTGGAAAGTTGGGAGAGAAGCCCTCCCTATTCTCCATCGAAGAAAAGAGTAGGAGAGGGAGTTTACAGTTAGAAGCCCATAAAGGGGATCTGTCCTAAACTTCAATGATAAACGAGTAAAATACAAAAGCTAAGAGTTTGGAAGGATATAGATTCTACCTAGTACAACGTTAATCTTAAGCCAGAAACTTTCCTTATAAGACCAGAATAGTCGATAATTCAGCTCCTGCTGAAATGGTTTTAGCGGGAGGAGGATAACTGTATTCCAAGGCAAACAGTGCTACATACTGAACATACTTGGCACTGAAACTTCTGGGTAAAGATAACAGGAGAAACTGAAAATTGTGAAAGGAATAAAAAAATGTTAACCAAACAAAAGAATGTTAACTGGAAGCAAACACAGGAAAGAGGAATGTTATTGATCAAATATTTCAGTTCAAGGTAGTTAAGGAA